AATCTCAAAAAAAATCGATCCAAAACTTTTGACGGGTTTCGAGAAAATTGAGTTTGGAAATTTTGAAATTAAAATCCAAAGGGGTTCAACCCTTTGAAAAAATCGAAATTTTTATTGTTCATATTTATTGAATTTTGACTTTTCCAATCGATAGAGCGGGTCTAAATTAGTCGAAAAAAACTCTAACATCATTACAAAATCTTGATTTCAACACAGAGAAAAATTTTAAAAAAAATCTTAATTTTTAGGTTTAATTTTTTTTTTGAATCCTGACAAGGTTAGGAGCAATTGCCAATACTTCCATTAAATTTTGAGCAAATCAAAATAAATTATATATGGTTGGAAAGAGCATCAAATTCTCTATAAATCAATGCTAGATTGAGTTTGATAACTCAAATACTTTTGGAGCAATTGAGCCTCAAAGTTGGATTTTAGTTGAAATTTAGTCAAAAACTTCAAACTCGATTTTCTCAAAAACCGTAAATGCCAGCGACTTCAACTAAGTACCATTTTGAAGCCCTCATCAAGGGCTACAATCTCAAAAACAATTGATCCAAAATCTTTGACGGGTTCCGAGAAAATTGAGTTTGAAAATTTTGAAATTAAAATCCAAAAAAAAATCGAAATTTTTATTTTTCAAATTTTTTGAATTTTGACTTTTCCAATCGATAGAGCGAGTCTAAATTAGTCGAAAAACACTCTAACATCATTACAAAATCTTGATTTCAACACAGAGAAAAATTAAAAAGAAAATCTTAATTTTTAGGTTTAATTTTTTTTTTGAATCCTGACAAGGTTATGAGCAATTGCCAATACTTCTATTGAATTTTGAGCAAATCAAAATAAATTACATATGGTTGAAGAGAGCATTAAATTTTCTATAAATCAGTGCTAGATTGAGTTTCATAACTCAAATACTTTTGGAGCAATTGAGCCTCGAAGTTGGATTTCAGTTGAAATTTAGTCAAAAACTTCAAACTCGATTTTCTCAAAAACCGTAAATGCCAGCGACTTCAACTAAGTACCATTTTGAAGCCCTCATCAAAGGCTACAATCTCAAAAAAAATTGATCCAAAACCTTTGACGGGTTTCGAGAAAATTGAGTTTGGAAATTTTGAAATTAAAATCCAAAAAAAATCGAAATTTTTATTTTTCAAATTTTTTGAATTTTGACTTTTCCAATCGATAGAGCGGGTCTAAATTAGTCGAAAAAAACTCTAACATCATTACAAAATCTTGATTTCAACACAGAGAAAAATTTTTAAAAAAATCTTAATTTTTAGGTTTAATTTTTTTTTTGAATCCTGACAAGGTTAGGAGCAATTGCCAATACTTCCATTAAATTTTGAGCAAATCAAAATAAATTATATATGGTTGGAAAGAGCATCAAATTCTCTATAAATCAATGCTAGATTGAGTTTGATAACTCAAATACTTTTGGAGCAATTGAGCCTCAAAGTTGGATTTTAGTTGAAATTTAGTCAAAAACTTCAAACTCGATTTTCTCAAAAACCGTAAATGCCAGCGACTTCAACTAAGTACCATTTTGAAGCCCTCATCAAGGGCTACAATCTCAAAAACAATTGATCCAAAATCTTTGACGGGTTCCGAGAAAATTGAGTTTGAAAATTTTGAAATTAAAATCCAAAAAAAATCGAAATTTTTATTTTTCAAATTTTTTGAATTTTGACTTTTCCAATCGATAGAGCGAGTCTAAATTAGTCGAAAAACACTCTAACATCATTACAAAATCTTGATTTCAACACAGAGAAAAATTAAAAAGAAAATCTTAATTTTTAGGTTTAATTTTTTTTTTGAATCCTGACAAGGTTATGAGCAATTGCCAATACTTCTATTGAATTTTGAGCAAATCAAAATAAATTACATATGGTTGAAGAGAGCATTAAATTTTCTATAAATCAGTGCTAGATTGAGTTTCATAACTCAAATACTTTTGGAGCAATTGAGCCTCGAAGTTGGATTTCAGTTGAAATTTAGTCAAAAACTTCAAACTCGATTTTCTCAAAAACCGTAAATGCCAGCGACTTCAACTAAGTACCATTTTGAAGCCCTCATCAAAGGCTACAATCTCAAAAAAAATTGATCCAAAACCTTTGACGGGTTTCGAGAAAATTGAGTTTGAAAATTTTGAAATTAAAATCCGAAGGGGTTTAACCCTTTGAAAAAATCGAAATTTTTATTTTTCAGATTTATTGAATTTTGACTTTCTCAATCGATAGAGCGGGTCTAAATTAGTCGAAAAAAACTCTAACATCATTACAAAATCTTGATTTCAACACAGAAAAAAATTAAAAAGAAAATCTTAATTTTTAGGTTTAATTTTTTTTTGAATCCTGACAAGGTTAGGAGCAATTGCCAATACTTCCATTAAATTTTGAGCAAATCAAAATAGATTATATATGGTTAGAAAGAGCATCAAATTCTCTATACATCAGTGCTAGATTGAGTTTGATAACTCAAATACTTTTGGAGGAATTGAGCCTCGAAGTTGGATTTTAGTTGAAATTTAGTCAAAAACTTCAAATTCGATTTTCTTAAAAACCGTAAATGCCAGCGACTTCAACTAAGTACCATTTTGAAGCCCCCATCAAGGGCTATAATCTCAAAAAAAATCGATCCAAAACTTTTGACGGGTTTCGAGAAAATTGAGTTTGGAAATTTTGAAATTAAAATCCAAAGGGGTTCAACCCTTTGAAAAAATCGAAATTTTTATTGTTCATATTTATTGAATTTTGACTTTTCCAATCGATAGAGCGGGTCTAAATTAGTCGAAAAAAACTCTAACATCATTACAAAATCTTGATTTCAACACAGAGAAAAATTTTAAAAAAAATCTTAATTTTTAGGTTTAATTTTTTTTTTGAATCCTGACAAGGTTAGGAGCAATTGCCAATACTCCCATTAAATTTTGAGCAAATCAAAATAAATTATATATGGTTGGAAAGAGCATCAAATTCTCTATAAATCAATGCTAGATTGAGTTTGATAACTCAAATACTTTTGGAGCAATTGAGCCTCAAAGTTGGATTTTAGTTGAAATTTAGTCAAAAACTTCAAACTCGATTTTCTCAAAAACCGTAAATGCCAGCGACTTCAACTAAGTACCATTTTGAAGCCCTCATCAAGGGCTACAATCTCAAAAACAATTGATCCAAAATCTTTGACGGGTTCCGAGAAAATTGAGTTTGAAAATTTTGAAATTAAAATCCAAAAAAAATCGAAATTTTTATTTTTCAAATTTTTTGAATTTTGACTTTTCCAATCGATAGAGCGAGTCTAAATTAGTCGAAAAACACTCTAATATCATTACAAAATCTTGATTTCAACACAGAGAAAAATTAAAAAGAAAATCTTAATTTTTAGGTTTAATTTTTTTTTCGAATCCTGACAAGGTTATGAGCAATTGCCAATACTTCTATTGAATTTTGAGCAAATCAAAATAAATTATATATGGTTGAAGAGAGCATTAAATTTTCTATAAATCAGTGCTAGATTGAGTTTCATAACTCAAATACTTTTGGAGCAATTGAGCCTCAAAGTTGGATTTTAGTTGAAATTTAGTCAAAAACTTCAAACTCGATTTTCTCAAAAACCGTAAATGCCAGCGACTTCAACTAAGTACCATTTTGAAGCCCTCATCAAGGGCTACAATCTCAAAAACAATTGATACAAAATCTTTGACGGGTTCCGAGAAAATTGAGTTTGAAAATTTTGAAATTAAAATCCAAAGGTGTTTGAACCCTTTGAAAAAATCGAAATTTTTATTTTTCAAATTTTTTGAATTTTGATTTTTCCAATCGATAGAGCGAGTCTAAATTAGTCGAAAAAAACTCTAACATCATTACAAAATCTTGATTTCAACACAGAGAAAAATTAAAAAGAAAATCTTAATTTTTAGGTTTAATTTTTTTTTGAATCCTGACAAGGTTAGGAGCAATTGCCAATACTTCCATTAAATTTTGAGCAAATCAAAATAGATTATATATGGTTGGAAAGAGCATCAAATTCTCTATAAATCAGTGCTAGATTGAGTTTGATAACTCAAATACTTTTGGAGCAATTGAGCCTCAAAGTTGGATTTTAGTTGAAATTTAGTCAAAAACTTCAAACTCGATTTTCTCAAAAACCGTAAATGCCAGCGACTTTAACTAAGTACCATTTTGAAGCCCCCATCAAGGGCTATAATCTAAAAAAAAATTAATCCAAAACCTTTGACGGGTTTCGAGAAAATTGAGTTTAAAAATTTTGAAATTAAAATCCAAAGGGGTTTAACCTTTTGAAAAAATTGAAATTTTTATTTTTCAGATTTTTTGAATTTTGATTTTTCCAATCGATAGAGCGAGTCTAAATTAGTCGAAAAAAACTCTAACATCATTACAAAATCTTGATTTCAACACAGAGAAAAATTAAAAAGAAAATCTTAATTTTTAGGTTTAATTTTTTTTTCAATCCTGACAAGGTTAGGAGCAATTGCCAATAGTTCCATTAAATTTTGAGCAAATCAAAATAAATTATATATGATTGGAAAGAGCATCAAATTCTCTATAAATCAGTGCTAGATTGAGTTTGATAACTCAAATACTTTTGAAGCAATTGAGCCTCAAAGTTGGATTTTAGTTGAAATTTAGTCAAAAACTTCAAAACTCGATTTTCTCAAAAACCGTAAATGCCAACGACTTCAACTGAGTACCATTTTGAAGCTCCTATTAGGAGCTACAATTTCAAAAATAATTGATCCAAAATATCTGACGGGTCCCGAGAAAATTTTATTTGAAAATTTTAAAATAAAAATCCCAAATCCCTTAGAAAAAAATTCAAGTAAGGCGAGAATTTTCCTGAAAAATTAACTTTCAAGATATCTGGTGATTTTTTTTTTTTAAATCTGTTCCAATTTTTGGTGAATTTAATTTCTTTGATCTGGCAACAGTGGTTGGAACAGAGCTATTAATGACTTTATTTAACAATATCATTGTTTCAAGATTGATCAACCATCTCTGGACAAAATCTTGAGAATCATTGCAGAAAGCAAAGAGCAAGGGGCCAAAATTGAAACCGGAGGTTCCAGAATTGGTGATAAAGGCTTTTTTGTGGAACCCACAGTTTTGTCTGGTGTTACTGACGAAATGTCTTGCGCAATCAATGAAATATTTGGTCCAGTACAAAGCATTTTGAAATTCAACACTCTTGATGAAGTTATTGAGAGGGCCAATAGTACAACTTACGGATTAGCTGGGGGAGTGATTACCAAAAACATCGATAATGCTTTGGTGTTTGCTAATGCTGTTGAAGCTGGATCAGTTTGGTAAATCAGAAAAAATACATATATGTAATAATTAGTAAATCATTATTATATTATTTTAGGATCAATTGTTATGATTACATCACTCCACAAACACCATTTGGAGGGTTCAAAAAGTCAGGATTTGGCAAAGATTTGTAAGTAATTAAATTACAAAATCCTCGATAACAATACAAATAATTTATTTCAGAGGTGCTGATTCTTTGGATGATTACTTGGTCACCAAAGTCATCACTATAATGCTGCCAGTCAAAAACTAAAAACTTGTTATATGTTATATTATCGTCAATATCTGTGTTTTTTTTTACATACAATTAAAAGCTAAATATCACTATTACAGAGATTTAATCAAATTAATGGAAATTAAAACTTATATATGATATGGAGATAATTTTTTGTTTTGCAAGACCAATAATTGAAATTTTTCACCCTACATTATAAATCTTTACACCATTTAGTTATTAGTAAACTAAGAAAAATTAAACAAATAAAGTTAATATTGCAACTAAAAAGAAAAATTGTTTTTCAAATACATATACAAACATACGATGTTTTTTAGTGTAAATCAGTGGCAAATATGTAGCCTTGCTGTTGAAGCACGTACAAACGTTTTTCTACTGCGTCTTTATCTGCAAAAATTTGTTTTAAAAATTTTGATACAAAAATAATTTTACTTACATTTGGTAAGAAGCATTCTATCTTGAGGATTGTGTACTTGCTGCGATAGACTGTGAAGTAAAATTTGGGCAGTTTGGTACCTCTGGAAGCATTCTTCGGGGTTGCCGAAGAGTTCGTCAAGGGCTGCGGTTTGACACTAAAAGAGTATAATATTTTTGAAAACTAGTAAGTGGCTACAGACAAGGAAATTTTACCATTTGAATCGCATGGTTATAGATAATTTTGTCGGCTGTGATGTCGGTGGTTCCGATTTTATTTAACAGGCCAGAGCTGCTCAGTTGTTTGCATTCCATTAGAGTGGAACGGAATTTGGTGTTGAGGGTTGACATAACTGAAAAAAAAAAAGTTTATTTATTTTGAGTTAAAATCAGAAGTGGTAAAGTTTTTTGGCTGGTATAGCAAGAGATTCTTAACTCTTCTCCTGAAAAATAAATAGTTGTTTCAGCCTTTGAAGTTCCAAAGTCAGTGGTTGAACTTTTTTTTTTTTTTGTGTCATCTAATATATAAAATTCTCATGTCACAGTTTTAGTTACCTTCGTCCTCCGAAACGGCTTTACCGATTTTAATGAAATTTTATAATATGTATATTCGGTAGGTATGAGAATAGGTTTTAAGCTATTTTTTATACCCCTAAGTGATAAGGGTGGTCCACCCCAAAATTTTTTAATTTTTTCTTGCTTCTCACCACTATTTTACATAACTCAACTTATTTTTGTTTATTCCATTCAACCGACGTAACAGTATTATCTTATAGCATTTTCGGCTTTACTGCTTCCAGAGCGCTCTCTATTTGGGCGGTGACGTCACAGATCTTTGCGGAAGTGCTCCGAGAGCGATTATGATCCAAGCCTATTTGAAATCAATAGCCAAATGATGTAAAATTTTAATTTTAGGTGATTTCTGATCCAGAGAGTAAACATTAGTTTTCTTTAACCAAGGCCAAATTCACCATTGAAAAAAACTGAATTTGATTCATCTACTAGATACGTTAACACAACATTTAATAGGTATTTAATAATTCATAGGCGGTACGAAGTTCGCCGGTTCAGCTAGTAAAATATAGATTTTTTTGTAATTCGCAATGGATTTTATTTTGGTTTGCATAATCTTTAAAAGATCAGAATTGTACACTATAAAAAATAAAAAAGGCAAGTACTGTACAGATCTTTGCGGTACTCCGCTAACAACTGTGTACCAATCAGAGCTGATTCCATTTGCTCAAAGATAAAAAGTTCTTTCCTAAAGAAAGGAGCTGTTCCACTGCAGATTCTTGCATCTTATTCCAAAATGGTTTAGTTTGTAACAGAATCTTTCGTGTATCGAAGACTTTCTGAAAGTCAAGATATATTACGTTGTCTGGCTTGCCTTCGTTTAGATTTGTAGGCCAATCATCTAGACAGCTAAAAGATTTGTTGTAGTAAAACCTTTTTGGTATACAGCCATGCTGTTTAGGCGCGGATCCAGGAAGGGGCCATGGGGGCCATGGCCCCCCCCTAGATAAGAAAAAATAATTTACAAAAATCAACATTAAGTCGACCAATTTTTCCGGGTTTACCAAGGCCCGTATATAACAGAATTTTATTTCATGGCGTCGACTTATCACGGACCTCTAGCCTATTCTATTTATATGTACAGGGTGTCTGGTTATAATTTGACACCCCACCTGCAGCCTTTACCTTTACAGGTAGATGATAGGTGTGAACACAAAAGTTGTGCAGTTTTAACTAAATTTTCAGAATCCATCGTCAAAAACAAAATTTTATTGTAAGAAATTTTAAATTTTGCGTACTTTCAACTTTTTTAAATGAAATGCCCTATATTTGCTTCTAATATATAGTTTTTCTATATTTGTTTGAGCCGCCTTCAAAATATTTGGCTCTAAAAATTGGAAAAATACTATCTCACTGACGATTTTGTGAACCATTGTGATGAAAGCTTCAGGTAAAATTTAAGGCATTTGGTTTTTAGTTTCTCTGATAGTATTTTTAAAAATTTTGAAGCCAAATATGGTGGAAACGGCTCAACTAAATATAGAGAAACTATATATTTTTGGAATCAGAAAATTGTGCTCTTCAAGAATATAGAATCAAATATAGGACATTCTATTTGAAAAAAGTTGAAAGTTGGCAAAATTTCAAATTTCTGACAATAATTTAGCTAAAACTGCTCCACTTTTGTGTTTACACCTATCATCTACATATAAAGGTGGGGTGTCAAATTATAACCAGACACACTGCTGTATCTTCCAATATTTTGTATGGCCCCCCCTTAATTTATGTCTGAATCCGCGCCTGATGCTGTTGATGTAAAACCCAGTTCAAAAATTCCAATCTTGGAAGAAAACCTCTGGACATTTTGAAGGTGATATGGATGCAATTGTTGCTCTTCCGAGAATTCTAAAGAACGATTTTGAACAATTAAACTGAAATCCCAAAATCCGGACACTTGTAATAGGATTTGTTTCTACGGCATTTGAAATATTTTCTTCAACATCCTCATCGTGATCGAATTGATTTCTACATAGGTGGCTAGTCTTTGTTAAACTTTCCGAAAAGTCATTTACGGTTATTATCTATATATATAAAACACAGTTGTGTTTTGTGTAAGCACTTATAACTCGAGAACGGCTGGACTGATTTTTATGATTTTTGCTTTATTGGATTTGTCTTTGTCTATCCTAACATAATAAATCGAAAAAATCAAAAAAAAAAAAATTACCTTTATTACTTATTTATGAAAAAAAATTAATAAGCCCGCATACGGCACCATCTCTTATAACCGATACCAAGTTTACCGTCACATTTTCATTGCAAACCATGTGGATTTTATTGTCACACACTTTGCACAAAAACAATTTGAGGAAAGCACTTTACTTTCAATTGTTCTGCACAATAAAAATGTCCAAAAATTAATAGAATTACAATGTTTTGATTGTGTATTTTATTTTGTTGTTGGTCCATTCCGAAAGAGCGCGAACTGGTCTTCCTGTCATTTCTTAACGCTTGACCATTGACGTTTTGTGGCTTAGTTCCGTTTCTCCTCTCAGGCATCCCTTGACAGCCGTGTTCCGTGCCGACTGTTCGGAGTGCTCTGTCCGGCTGGTGTCGAGTGGCAGAGAGCCAGGTTATGAGTCCGCCACAACCATTTTGTATACGGCGCCATATATGATACCTAGAACGAAGCTCACCGATGCGCGGTAATTTCATTGCAGATGCAGTAGAACCATGCTGCTCAGGAACTAGAGATATTTAGAACAGAACCACAGCATATACAAAAACAATCAGCAGGCTAACTTGAGTGACAGCCCGTGTAATAAAGGAATTCATGGTCGGGATGTCACTAGCGGCCATTTTGGGATACGAGACAGGGCTTGATTAACAATAATTTAGGTTTTTTCTTCCGTGTCACAGAGTCGTATTCGCTTTAAATAAATTAATTTATTATTACTTACATATAATAATATTTATAATAATGACAATACAATAAATGACAACACGAATATACTAAAATCACTTTGAAAATCATAACTAAAATTCTGCTCAACACCGCACGCCTATGACCTCTGTCAGAAATAAACAAATAAAATAAAATTTCGGCGTCCCTGCCGTTTAATGACAGTATGGTATCCCATAATGGTGGCATGCGCAGAAAAGATGCGCGTGAGAGTTAGCCTTCTGATTGTTTTTGTATATGCTGTGACAGAACTATAGTCCGACAAATACCATTTTAAAGTCACGTGATATTGGTGGCAAAAAACGTATGTCCATTAATTATGTCGTTGATATCACCTACAAAAAGCTACTAGTGGTTAATTACTATTGAATTTTAAGATATGTTCCCAATATCATTTTACAAACGCGTTTCTGAAGTAGTATTGAGTATTGACCCATCAGATGGGAATTTTAATACTTGCAATTGTTGTGAGACTCACTTTTATCGCATCTGCTGTCCATTGTAATACATTCTGAACTTGAATTGGGTACCCGATTTCTATTTGCTTCTTTTCGAGTTGGAAAAAGGTTACTATAGTCAGTTACTTGAAAAAAGTAACGCGTTACTTTACAGTTACTTTTGCTTTAAAAATAACTCGTTACTTAAAATTTACAGTTACTTTCGAATAATGATAACTTTATTTTCGTTACTTATTGGAAAGTAACGCGTTACCGTAACTTCTTTACTTTGAAAGTAACTTTAGTACTTTAAAAGTAGTTCGTTACTTTTAAAGTAACGCGTTAGTTCAAAAATAACTATTTACATCGAAAATTGCATTATTCCTTAATTCGACTCACCAACACATCAGTCCAAACAATCAAATAAGACCTATAAGAAATTCCAATATTTTTTTAGTTTGTGAGTCCGACTATGTGGAAAAGTATTCTTGCAAAATTCAAATGGATTAAGGATTAAGCGACTGAATAAAGCACTTGGTTTTGGACAAACCTGCTCTTTGAAGCGTCCCAGTGTCTGCATATAGTGTCTTTAGAGCAGAGGCGGCGCGTGGCACGCCCAAAAACGATTTTTTTGAGCTTTCAAAACAAATTTTCTGTACTACCAACATTTTATTTGACATACAAAGTTTTTTGATTACTTATTTTCCTTTTCTTCACTCGTCAATTATTTGTAAAGAAGATAAACAAATTGAGAGAACGAGTTACTTTCATAGTAACTAGTAACGCGTTACTTCCAGCGTTACTTCAGGAAAGTAACGTCGTTACAGTTACTTATCAATCAATCTGAAAAGTAACGAAGTTACCAAGTAACGCGTTACTTTCAGTAACTCGTTAAAGTAAAGTAACTTTTTTTTGTCGTTACTCCCAGCTCTGATGACAGTGACGGATTCTATTTTAGGTAAGAATATTATGAACAATAATTAGACACCAATTTTTTTGTCAATTTTGCTATCACCGCTGTTTGAGATGTATTCAACAAGGATAGAGAAAAATCACGTGACTTTAAAATGGTATTTGTTGGACTATATTCCACTATTCTGATCAGATAGAGTGGTGCAGAAAGAGTAGATCAGATAGAATAGTGCAGATAGAGTAGAACAGATGGAGTAGTGCAGTGCAGATAGAGTGATACAGAGCTGCGCTGTAGATTTTTTTTTGTTTTTTTTACATTCTTTGAACATTCCTGTGCCTGAGTTTATTTATTTGGTGGTACACTTTACAAGAAAAATGCCCAAAAGCTGCCTTGAAAGGGATGATGTAAAATTTTAATTTTATAGGTGACTTCTGATCTAGAGACGAACATTAATATTCTTCAAGCAAAGCCAAATTCACCATCGAAAAAAACTGAATTTAATTCAACTAATAGATACGTTAACACAAC